ATATGGAAAAGTTCAAGGGGTATGAATACTTTTGCAAACCACTGTAGCTGTCAGCTTAATGTTTTCAGCTGATCTGGTAGTTTTAGATTTTTTTGTTGGTATTTTTAATTTTATTTAGATGTAGATTTGGTAGTTGTACGTTTTTGCTACTTTTAGCTTTTAGCCAACATTTGGTGCTTTTTGCTTCAAACTACCATTTTGCTACTTTGAGCATGGTTTTAAGCCTGTCCCCTTTTAGGCTTTAACATTTTATTATTTTTTTCTCTTTTTATTGTTTTTCTAGCAGATTCTGCTTTTACAGCCATTAGCTTGTGTTATGCTTCTAATTGCCTTTAGCTAGCATTTTCCTTTTAGCTTTTAGTMAGTGTTTTTATTTTTTGAGATTTTACCTTAGCGTTCTGCTTTTTTAGCTTTTAGGTAGCCTATTGATCTGCTTCTTTTAGCTAGTATTCTGRTGTGTTTAGTTTTTAGCTTGCATTCTGTATATTTTAGCTTCTATGTATTGTTCAGTTTTTTTTATCCATTAGCATGTGTTTGGCTTCTAATAGCTTTTAGTTGGTGTTTTTATTTTTTAATACTTTTGTAAGATTCTGCTTTTAGCCATTAGCTTGTGAACTGCTTCTAAAAACCTTTAGCTAGCATTTGTTTTTTACATTTTAGCTAATGTTTTATTTAAAACTTTAGCTAGTATTTTGCTTTTTTAACTTTTAGGTATTGATCTGCTTGTTTTAGCTAATATTCTGCTGTGTTTATCTTTAAGCTTTTATCTGCTTCTTTTAGCAGTTAGTATGTTTGCTGCTTCTAATAGCTTTTATCTAGCATTTTACTTTTAGATTTTAGCTAATGTTTTTTGTTGTAATCCTCCAGCTAGCATTCTGCTTATTTTAGCTCTAAAAACTGAAAGTTTCAGCCAATTTCATCAAAGTCACCCGGCACAGCTTCATGCTGCGTTTTCACAGAAAATGCATTCTTTTGTTTTTTTTATTTTGGTTAAACGAGTAAAAGACCCCAGACACCAAACCTGAGGGAGCAGCTCTGCTGCCAGCTGAATCCTGACAGCAGGGACTTAACTCAACATTTCTTCTGTCAGATTCTCCTTTTTTCTTTCTCGCCAGCAGAGACTTTTCAGCTCAGAAGCCAAATCATTTGTCAGAACCAGCTGTCAGTGACTCACAAACTCTGAGGCCGATGCCAGCCCTTATTACYAGGCTAAACAACCTAATTGTTTCTTCTGCGTCCTTCAAAAGTCTGGTAGAGTCAGTTTCTGTCTTGATTTAAGTAAATAAACTTGTGTCAATCAGTATAGATTCTATACAAACTTTTATAGTGTTTTTCTCTTTTAGTTTCTGAACATTTCTAGTTTATTTTTCAGTTAACTTTAATCCTTAGCTTAGAGTTTTGTAAGTATCTAGAAAAAAATAACAAAAATGAATTTTAAAATCTGTTAAAAGCCATTATCCTGAATAAAAATCCAACTGACAACACCTTTATTTGTTTTAAAATAGGAGGGAGGACTGGTGTTTTCTTATCCAGGAAGACGACAGTCCACCGTTCAGAGCCATGAAACCAGCTGCTATTTTAATGAGGTTCTGGGCCGTGTACACTTCAATAAACAAAATGCCGTTTTTCACAACTCTGGCCTCAGGTCGGCYTTTAATAACTGAGAACTAGAGGAASCTTTAAGGTCTTTATGATGTGTGTGGCGTGGCTCAGAGGTGTCGGAGGTATTAGGTCGGGAGCTTTTTGGGATTCTCAGCCGCAGGAGACATTGGACCTTTGTCTTTGTCCCGTTTGTTCTGTTTTTGTTGAGCTATTTTTGGTTTTACAAATAGAGTTTCACTTGAATGTCACCAATGGAACAACAACTAAACACAAAACTGATAACTRATTCATTCTTACAAATATTGAGCTAAAACTTGGTGTGGTAGTACCTGAGAGTCATCCTCAATATATATAATGAGTGCAGACGAGAAATCAGATCTGTTTGAACGTAACGAGCCAACGGCACATGAAACGGATCTGAGCCGAGGAGAATCTGCTGATACGGACGAGGCTGTGTGAAATCAGTAAATCCTTGATTAAGAGGGATTTTCTCTCTTTCTCAAAGTAGAGATTAAATTAGAACAGTTTCTAAAAATGGAACTGAAAGTATGGGAATCTGAATAGAAAAAACGAACCAACGGTTCATGAAAAGGGAAGTTTCCACATTTGGCGSGACAAAGAGAGATGCTGGTTTGAATGAAAGGTTACAGATAAAGGAGACTGAGCTGCAGGACAAAGAGTGCAACTGTTAGGAACTGCACAAAGATGAGTTGAAGACTAAAAGGAAAAAGACAACTTGACTTTTCCTCTGTTTATCAGAGAAACGCCTCAAACGTTTAYGTTAATTCATATAATAGACATTGAATGTAGTTAAGGTTTTTGCCAGTATTCCTGTGTTTGCTCATTTGTATGCAGCATTAGCAGAATCACTGCATATCTTCTAGCCAAAGTAGCAACATCAGTTTAGGTTGGGCATCGATTCCTAATTTCAATCAGTCCACCAACTGGACCAATACGTGTCCGAACACCAACAAAGAATCTGCAGGTAGTGTGTTCAAAGGGATAATGTGGAGTAGCTTTATTAAAGTAAAACAATAAAATATGTGTAATACCAACAGTGAGGCAGCCAACAAGTTATACTAGCCCTTAAAACCAGAACATCAGCTCAATAACATGTTGTAGCTGCACAATCAGACACTGGATCTGTGTCGATGTGTTTTCATCAGGTTTTTAAAAATAAAGCTCTCTCATGTTGTGAAAGTGTAAAAATAAAATTCATAACATTTATATTCAAGTTCATAGGTTTGATATTTATATAGCGGTTGATAATAAACCTGTGAGGAATTCTTAGTGAAGTTCATTAAATGTTTATAGAGTTTAAATTCTTAGAGAAAGTTAAGACTATTTCATCCAGATTGGTTAGATACCTCATTTGAGCCATGCACACTTTTGTGACCCTGCCTCTAAAAAGAATCAGAATCAGGAATCGTAGCTAGCCGGAATCGTTCAAATTCAAACAATGCCCAACCCTAATCATCACTAAAGGTCCTCTAATCAAGAAGAAGTGCTGCTAGAGCTTTTGGTGCTTTATTAAAAACTGTCTTCAAATTGGTGCACAAAGATGTTTTGATTTTAAATAAGCGTTTAACTATAACATTAAAATGGGCAAAAAWATATATATATATAGTGAGCATAAGCCTCATTTGGGGAAACAAATGACCAGTTTGAACTGCCAACGAATGTAAATAAAAACAACATGTTTCACATTCCAACTAACTGGAGCCAAAGTGACAGCAGATGGTTTGGCACATTTTGATAAATCAGGTAATTARGTTGGTATACATTTTTACTCCGCTGTAAAAACTTTGAAAAAGCACAGAAAATTCTACTTTAAACAGACTTTGCTCATTTCTGGAGCCAGTCAATTAAAGCAGAATCAATATTATCATATTTCCTTCTAATGTCCTTTTTAAAGGTAGAATAAGAGAATAAATCACAGCTGGTGTTAAAAACGTGTCAGTTTGAAGTTTTGACTTGAGCTTTTCGTGCCTATCATCTTTTCCTGAGGCACGAGGCTCATAATCATTCAGGTTCAGGTTGTTAGCCGTCAGRGGTGGACCCAGAGCCACTCAGGTCATGTTTTGTGGGCAAACATAAAAATCCAGTAAGAACCGATAATGGCTGAATGAGCCTGCTGGGGGACAGCCTCTGCATGCGCACTTAGAGGAGAAACAGAGGCGGACGTAGTTTTTTTCAAAATGAGCAAAAAGCCAGGATTAGACTTCCTACAGCCGGGGCAATTAGAGGCTCCTCGTCCCMCTGCGTCTCCTCAGATCCACCGACACAAAAAAACATCTGCAGAGGAGCTGAAACTTCCAGCTTCTGCTCTCTGAGAAAACCTGAGTAGAACTGGAGGAGCGCAGTTAAACCTCCGCACGGATTCAGGCAGCTTCTCTTCCTCTGGACCGAACCAGAGCTGCAACCCACGATCTGTGAGATTACAATGCTGAGTCAGCATTCACAAGCAGACTGAATGCTGACTCAGCATTCACACTGTTTATGGTTTCCTCAAGATGTTTTTTTTTTTGAACTAACTGCTTGCTTTGTGTTATTTTAATCTTTCAAATATCAAAACATTTAGCTTGATTAGAAAAAGTGACTTTTTCCTTGAAATTTAAATTATGTAACTTCATTTAGAAAAAGTTGTCAATAAAAATACTTCTACATCTACTTTTGTCTTCTTATGGTATTTGCAGCTTTTAGCTACTGTCCTGCAACTTTTAGCTGTTTATATTAATTTCAGGTTTTAGTCTTTTCATTTTAAAATGTGCAATTTGTAGATTTTAATATGATTTAGCTAATTTTAACTTTAGTTCCTTTTTAAATGTGCCTTCTACATCTACTTTTGTCTTCTTATGGTATTTGCAGCTTTTAGCTACTGTTCTGCAACTTTTAGCTGTTTATATTAATTTCAGGTTTTAGTCTTTTCATTTTAAAATGTGCAATTTGTAGATTTTAATATGATTTTGCTAATTTTAACTTTAGTTCATGGTTTTTTTGTGGTACGGTTTTGCTGGTTGTAACTTTTAGCTACAGTTTTGCTGATTTTAGCTTTTATGATTTTACTGATTTTAGCAGTTTGTTACAGTTCTGCTAATCTTAGCTGCAAGCAATAATTTAGCCAATTTAAATTTCCAGTTACTGATTTTAGCTTTTAGCTTCAGCTTTGGCAGTAATTTTAGTTCTGCACAACTGGGGTTTTAGATTCTGTTTTGCTAATTTAAACTTTTAGCTATGATTTAGCTTATTTTAGCTTTTAGCTCTGTTCATTTTATTTCTTTGCTTTGCTTTTGCTTTCTATTCTAAGTGCTTGTTTTTTTTTAGCTATGGTTTTTCTGATTTTAGCTTCTATTTTAACTTTAACAATCCTGATCATTTATTCTGTACCAACTTTCTTCTGAGTCGTTCAACATTCACTCTCCTCTTTCTCAAAAACCACATTTTCTTTAGTTTCCTCCTTCTGGACAGAATAAATCCTGCTTCTGGTTTTTTCTTCTTCTCTCGACTGTATCAGCTGAAGTCTTAGTAAAAGCCTCAAAAAGGCAGAGAATGATGACCGGCATCTTTTGGCCATTTGAAGTGAAGTGCGTCAAACCGAAGGGSGAAAGCGGCGGCCATCTTACCTCTAAGTGTATTTGTCAGATTTGTGTGCTTCCAGTTTTGCCCCTGTCATCTGCAGTTGGGCCGCTGTAGTGATGTGAAAACACCTCMGAGCCACAGCATCTCCGCCATGCCACATAAGCTCAAAGTCATGAACCGCCGAGTCCTCAAGCACACCGCGTCTAAAGATAATTTGTCCTTGCATGTTGCAGCATTTACTACCAAGTTTCAAAGCCCCTGGAGAAGCAGCATCAGCGATCTGCTCCTTGAGTTTTCCATGACTGAGCTCCATCCAGCTCAGCGCCTCAGGATCTGCCCGTCTAATAAATTAATTTGGTTTTATTGAACGAGTGGTTTCCAGGATGTTTTCATGGACTTGAGGGGGTTTTAATGTTACGGCACATACAGATGCCATAGACAAGAGAGTTTATTACTGCATAAAATTGTTTTCAYCGAGAACATTACCTGAGACTGAACGAGTTTTCAGCTTTTCATTACAGCCTACATATGACCACTTAAAGCAGTTTCAGGAATCAATTSGTACAGAATGTAAAGAAAAAAAAACACATTTCAATATAAATTGTGGCCTCCGAGTCGGAGTCAGTTTCATCATCAACCAATTTAAAATGGCACCCAGAGAAGAAGCATCAGTCACAGGAAATATCTGCCTGTTTCAGTGGAGCGGAAATACATCAGTAAAAGTATTTTATTTAAAATGASCCATTTAGGAGCACGATTAAACATATAGTTGTGTGTTTTTATTGACTTGTGAAAAAGCAATCTCTGTCGACGAGTCCACAGTGAATTATGGGAAATAAAGTGACTGAGAGGGTGTACAGAATGAGATTTTACTAAAAACAAAAAACTAACAAGTTTATTATCAATGACATGAAGGTAGATGGTGGATGATAATGTTTSTGGACTGGCTCTGCATCTGTTAGCAAAATATATCATAAAACACTGGAAACGTATAACTGCTACGCATGATAACTGAACAGTTAGTTAAAAATTGCTTCTCCTCCGCTTCTCTGTCCTTCCTGCCTCCTGTGTGTGTGTGTGTGTGTGTGTGTGTGTGTGTGTGTGTGTGTGTGTGTGTGT